AACAAACGAACAGAGACGTAACATACCACATATCTAATTTTCATATAGTGTGTGAGCAAGGCATGGTCTACAGTTTAACGTGTCGGGCTGTGTATCAAAGAGTCTAAATTTAAAGTGTGATGCCATTAAACATGTTTCGCACTTTCAAAAGTAGATGCGTTATAAGAGTGACAATCAATCCGATTATTCTCAAGTATATCCTTGTGGTGATAGATACTTCTAGCTAGCTGCTTTTCTTCTAGTCAATAGTTCGAAATCAGGGACAGCTATACCTAAATTTTCGTGGTCTCTGACATGACCGTTAAGCTTATGTGTGCATAAAGTGCCACGCATGGCTAAAAATATCCCAATTCCTGAGAGTAAGGATAGTATACAGTAAAGTTTTGTAGCACTAGGTTGCGCTACGTTTTTTCCATTCCTCTTAGCTTAAAGTTAAGATCACAAAATGTTTCTCATTTCTCTATAATACTCAAGATTTTAACTTACCTCGGGGACTAATTGAGTCAAGTGGAGATTAAGCGCTTTCTTTTCTTATTCTCTTGCAGGAATAACAATGTGCTTTTAAATTAATACGCCAACTTATTCTTGTTGGCGAATTGGTCAATAGTTGTAGATGGACTCGTCCATAATCTGCACTAGTCGTTGGACACCAGTGACTGTTTTCTTGTATCAGAAACTCAAGTATTTATTGTCCTATTTATAACAGTGTTCGGCCATTGGAGAGCAGATTTTGTTATGTTACAACAGCGGAAGTCACGCGATTCTGGGAGCATGGGCGCTGAAGTTTCTCGAAGGATCATGAATTATCGAGGAACCTCGCGAATGTCCGAGTGTTTGCCAAACGCCAAAAGCCAGCGATAGATAGATATGCAGATAGATTTAAGATATAGATAATTGAGTCAAGCGAACAGTAGGCACCATAAATAAAGTGTGTGAATCACTGTCATTTATAGCGTGTGTTATAAAGGTTGTTAAGTTTAAAGTGATTGTGAAAGTTCTGTGTATTACAAAGTTGTATCGAGAAAGAATAAACTAGTTTTAATTAATAAAGGACTTGTATGGCTGAAGTTCCTGAGAAAGAATTTGTACCGGAAATTAATAAACAAGTAGATACGCAACAGTTAGGTTATCAGGAGATTTTCGAGAACTTTTCTGCAGATTGTATGAAATGTTGCATGGATTTTCACCAATATAACTTTTAAAGAAATGTATATAGAATAAAAGATTGAGTTTCATTTGGGCTAAAGAGTGTTTTCATAGTGTTCCTGTAACTTTAACTTCTGTTTGAGACTTAAAGTTCTTACTTTCGATTGCCGGTAACAGGTTAGTGTATTTGTATGTAATTTTACACTCCGATAACTCCTGAAATTCTTTTATAACTTAAGTGTTAATTAGCATTTTTATTTGTGTAGGTGCTTTCTGACTTTCTCCTGTAATTTAATTAATTAGTTGTTTAAGTTTGCTAGTGAGCGAATTGTATATAATAGGTCAAAAGGATAGTGGAGCATAGGTTTATATTTAAAGTTTTGATTATTATTGTCGTGGTGAAATCCGAGATTTAGCAGAGATTAAAAAACAGGGTCAACTTTGTTGTGCTAAATTTTAACTTGGGGGCATTCTCTTTTTTTTTTTCTCTAGTGATTTATCTTTTAAAAGCTAGCCCAAGCTAGT